AAAATCCTGTCAAAGTATTCAAAATCTGTTTCCTAGTCACCCCCAGTCTTCCTTGAAGGCATTACAAACTATAGTCTTGCCATGTGTTTCTAGCTTAGCGACTTGCTCCCCTGCATAGTGAAATCTAAACTGTCCATTGTGGGGTGAATACAGCTGAATCTGTTTTAAAGCGACTCCATGATAATTGAGAGCACCAGCATTGATAATGCCAGTGTTCAAGGCTAATATACCAGTTAGGCCATATGCTTTAATTTGTCCTGAAGTTGTTTGTGACTGAGAGGGTTGGGAAGCTTGGTGGTGTTATGTATGTGTACGGGTATTTATTTGTGTGTGTGTATGTGGGGGGGGGGGAGAGAGAGAGAGTAAACCTTGCAGAACCCAGATGACACTGCCTGGGCCGTTATTTTCCCACAGTGCAATATAAATAGCCTGCTAGTGTGGGGTGACGGTGGGCAGGCAGGGGCGCTCAGGGGAGGATCCCATCCACACACAACAGCACATTCCTGTCCACCTGGCCCTGCCAGAACCCCAGGTCACCTTACAGGATGTGTTCACAGACACACATCCCTCCTCCTCCTCCTCACACCTTTCCTTCATCACCTGTTTCCTCACCTCTTTGCCAACTCCCCTTTTCTCCTCACCCACCCTTGGCTAGGGTCTCTACCCACATCACGCTTGGTCACATCGGGCCCTCTCGCTTGCTGACTCTCCACCTTTGACCACTGTGGAACGCTGTGACGCACACATTCTCTCACGCACACTATCTTGATTTCTCACATAAACACACTCGTAAAAAAATCCCTGCTTTCCTCGATGAACTTGACAACTGCAAAACGCTACTTTAGTGTAACATTACACAATATGTCAACAACTAATGAGATCTTCTGCAGATGGCGTTACTGTTTTTTTTCTAGTTTTCCATGTTGTCTGCAACATGACACTGTTGGCATGACAGGGGTTTGCAAAGTGAGCTTGACGATTAATCAAATAATACGACCACAGATGACAAGCTAATGATGTTAATGGACCGTATGGTCACAGTTAATCAATTTTGAGCGATTACATGAAATTATTACACTATGAAATTACACTTTTTATTTATGGCTGTTCTGCAGCACAGCTTTTTTCTCAATATTTTACAATAAAACTGAGACCCTTAATGGGGCGCTGTGGTCTCTCACTTACTGGGGTGTGCGCCCCATGTGCCTGTGGCAGCCCGGGTTCGGTTGCAGGCTTTATGCATGTTATCCTCTCTCTCTCTGCCCAGTTTCCTGTCTACCTTAAAGCTGTCACTATCCAAATAAAGGCAAGAACACCCCCCCCCACAACTAAAAAAACAACAGTGTGACCATTAAAAAAAACCTTGCGCAGGTATGTTTACTTTCTTTTAAAATTATCCCATGTCCAACCAAGTAAATGATTACACTGACTTAGTGCTGATTTGTGTGCTTTTTTTAATCTATGTGCGCACTATCTTACCCGATGTTTACATTTGACTCATATAACCTCCAGTTCACACAGGAAAATGATTTACTGTGATTAAATACTTGGAAACCCTTGTATCAGCTATGTGTCTCTCTGTAAATTAAGATACCATGTGGCTTCTCATCTTGATGACCCCGCTATAGAGGCCAAGCTTTCTCTGTTGATGCTTGTGACAAGGAGATCTGAAACTCCACTGATCTGATACGCTCTTAAGTCTTAAATACTACCACAGTCACATCCACAGAGAACACCACCTTCCAACAACAGCTCCCCGGTTTTAATTCAAACCTTTACTCAATATATCCGCAGCCTGTTACAGAAGGGGAGACAGATAACAAAAATGTAAAGCTGTCTGTTGGCTGCTTCTTTAACAGCATTCAAAACAGGTTGGAGAGAAAGGAGGTGATAATCATCCCTAAATATACCGCCTTTAGCTTCCTGTCTCCCAGATCTGCTTACACAGTAAAGACGACATTAGACAGACGATGCTTTCGGCATGACATGTGCAAAAGTCCTGATGAGTGCATTGGGGGCATCAAAACTTCACACCCAATGCTCGAGGTTCGTGAACGCTTATCTCTGCAAAGCCAGCACAAAATGCCTGCAAGTCAACACTTGAGTTAACAAAACCGGATCTCAGTGGAGCACACACGGCTGCATTAAAGGTTAACCGTGCTGTTTGCACGATGCTATGGTGCAAAAAGTGTAATTATAAGCATAAAGTGTCTCTGACGTGCGTAGAAGCATCCAGAACCAATGAACAAGAGCTGCCTCAGTTATGTACAACTGTTTATGCTAGCAAATCAGTTGCCACAGTCGGGAAAAGCGAATCAGTCCCTGCAACTACTAATTATAGACAGGCATCATATATACACTTCATACTGCCTCTGCTGCCTGCCAGCTTAGAACGTAAAGGCCGGGCGACTTCTTAAATGACAGGCGCTGATTTGGTTTCCCATGGCTTTCACGCTGGGGGAAGATGGCATGTTTATGGTTAAGGGGAGTGCACAAGATCACACACACACACACACACACACACACACACACACACACACACACACACACACACACACTCGCTCTAGTGTAATCACTCATTACTATCTGCCCCCTGAACAACATGTTCTGCAGTATATATCTACTGGCAGACAGCTGGAGTCACCCTGACTGATGAGCTCCAAATCAGTGTGAAGAGCCCCAACGGTGATGAAAGTGGTTCTCCCACCAGCATGGCAGAGGTTGATGGCTCTGATCCAGACCGGTTTTTATTATTACTCTGTGGTATACCTGAGTATGTGTGGTATTTAAAAAAAACCTCATGCAGTGAATCCAAAATGTGCTGTATTAAAGCTGACATCCTGACAACACAGCCTACTGCTAATAAAATAGATTTTTAATGTGTGTTTGTTTGTATTCAGTGCTAACAGAACTGAAATAATGCAGTCTATTTATGCAGTGTTTTTGCCATCTCAGACAAGAGATCTGACGTTGGGATTGTTGATGGATTTAATACAAACGCAGTTCAAAGGGAGGCTGAGCTTTCCCAACACTTTGTGTTCAAATGCCTTATTTTTCTGCTTTGAAACTGTGTCAGACGTCTGTGGTAGAAGTCTTTCATCAACGCAGTGGCAAAGAGGAACTAATCAGCGTTTGCTCACAAGGCAGATCCACACCCTTTCACACCCCATATTTCCTATAGCCCACATCTGGAGTGACATCATTAGAAAAACAGTGCTGCAGACAAAGTGATCCTCTGATGTGCTTTATATCGTATTACTACTGGCTCACATGACATTGGCTTTACTATGAAAGAGGAGGATTTAAGTGTAACAGGAGGAATTCTGAACTGAATTAATAACCGCGTGACGAACAACGCAGGGATATCTCAAAATGTGACGCATCTGTGGCCGTAGATTTATATGCTTTGGTTGATAGATAAGAAGAGTAAGCAAACACAAGACGTGATTTATAAACAAAAACAGCGTCTGACCAAATGCCTGAGCAGCGTTTGTTGTGGTGCCAGCACCTGACACCCAACCACGCATTGGAGAGCAAGAGCTTGACATTGGCCACAGCAACAAAAGCATTGTCAGGACGGACCCCTGAGGAGATCAATTTGCTCCCCCCATTTCCAGGCCTTTCAGCAGGGTTGAATAGAGGACAGAGGGCCGGTCGCGGCAGCAGGAGGCACGGCAGTGTTTCTCTAACGGGGTGTAAAGACAAACAAATCACTGGGATGAGACGTGGTCTTGTTTTTGTGATGAGCCAGTGATTTACACCTGGATCATTCGGGCTGATAAGGGATAATTAGTTTGGGATTACTGTGATCACTAACAGTTTATAAAGCTAGTGAGAGTGTGTCTGTCTGCGTGAGGGAGTGTAAAGGGCAGTGTTGGGGTTCTCTGGTGTTTGAGATGTTAGTATTAAAGCTGGCTGTGTTCTCCATGAAAATAAAACAATGATGTGTTTAAGAAAAAAAGGATGAACTAAAACTTTTCTTCTGGTAAGCAAGAAGAGAAATGTTTCATTATGTAGGCTATTAACCTCAGCAATAAACCTCCCCTGGATTATAACTGGGGCTGCAACTTTATTGATCAATTGGATGATTGTTTCCTCTGTTAATTGAGAAAATATCAACCAGAGCACAAGGTGACGTCTTTAAATTGCTTGTTTTGTTCAAACAACAGTCATTCAATTTACAACGATAATAATAAAAATAAACTGTTTTCACATTTAAGTAGTTGGAACCAAAGAAGATTCCTATTTTTTGCTTGAAAATTACTGAGTGATTTTAAATTTAATGATTGATTATCAAAAAACGTTTTCGATAACTAATCAACAGACTAGTCCTTCCAATAACAACATGATTTAAAAACTATAGTGATCCTTTAGTTAGTTATGATAATGCTGTTCAAAAAACAACATTTATATGCAATATTTGTATGAAAGCAGCAGTCAAACTCTAACTATCTCCCCACTAAAACAGTCCTCTTGTGAACTGCAGCACATCTGAGAAAGTGGTGACTAACCTAAAACCAGTCCTGCAGGTAAACAGGCTGCATCAAGACTGAGTAAAAAAACTGGAGCAAGGCAAACTTGCCTGTCTGTGCTCAAGGTCCCCCTTTCCTTTTTAATGAAACACAGAACCAAAATCATGTTGTATGGGGTCTTGATGCCAACTCATACAGTTTCTGGCATTCAAAGTGTGTGTATAGGTGGTTTTGGAGATCACTAGACGTCATTGTGTACCCTCCTTTTTGTCTACCACCTCTACAGTGTTTCTAACTTCTCATGTTCACAGATTACCTGAAAAGTTGTGCTGCAGACTCGGACCCTGGCACACAGTCTGGCTATAACTAATGGTAACGAATAAAAAGTAAGTACAGAGTGGGTGTTAAAAAAAAAAGACATATCGGGAAAAAATGTGCAGCTCGTGGGAGGAGAAAAGAAAGAAAAAAAAACCATCATTGAACGGGTTAATTTTGAGTCATACCAGGCTCCGAGAAGTAAAAAAAAAAAAATTAGAAAAAAATTCCTCCGCCGCGGCGACAGAGAGAAAGAAAACTTTAAACTTCTGGTGTGTTTTAAAGGCGTGTCTGGGATAAAATCAACAACTATAACGAGTAATGCGAATTTTCTAAAGCGACGACAGACAGATATAACACAGATATAAGCGTTTAACAAGTTTCCCCCCCCCATTTTCTTCTTCAGGCGGACGATAGATCCCCGCTGACTTCAGCGGAAGGATATGCGGATCTCGGCTCGCGGTGGCTGTGAGCTCAGAGAGGTGGAAGACTTTTTCACCGCCGTGTGTGACTCGTACAACTTAAACTTATGTGTATTTTAAACGCCTTTATCGGGGACGACGTGGAGGAACACATGTAAAAAAAAAAAAAAGGAAAGAAGATGAAGTGATTTTACTACGTGTAGTTTAACAGTGTACGACCTATTTTCCAGCGAGAGTTTGCCTGTTTTTGTTGTGTTTTTTTTTTGAGAAGCAACCGTCCCGGGAGACAGCTCAATTTTGGGGCTGGCGACCTTATGTGGATTTTACAGAAAATATGGAGCAGCTCCCCGGTTTCTCCTCGGGCAAATCGCTAGTCTTTGTCTTCTGCCTCGTCCACCTCTCCTTGGGTAAGTCATTCATTATGATGAAAAGCTTGAGTTTAGTTTGTTTCCAATAATTCATAACTTGTCATGGTCACGTTTTTTGTTGCCTCCACGGGGGCAGCAGACGTAGCATCTCTCTCTATCCACACACTGTCTGTTAGGTGAGTTGGCTTTGTAAAGGTAAACTGTTGCTACAGGTGAGTTTAGTTGAAGGGTTTACCTATAAAAAGCTCACTTTGTGGTAATTTGTTTCATGCCTGGTGCGTTTGAATAGAAACTGGCGTTGCCTTTCACCCCACAAACATAACTCTAGCTAGCATTAGTTTGATATTACTCTAACATCCTTATAGGGATTGACTGTGTCTCCGTATTACTCATCTCCTTCCGCGGTAGTTTTTCCTGTCTGTGTTAAATTGATGATACTTCACGACCCCTGGAGCGTTTTCACAAAGTTTAAATCAGAAATAATTGATTTCACACCCCCAAAAGGCCACTAAAAGTGCAGCTAATGTCCCCCTGTGGTCTAAGTCAGATAGTTATAGGGTTGGTTAATATGGATAATATGGCCTACTACTGCTGGCTGTGCAGTCGCACCGCTGCCCAGATGTTGAACAGCGAGAGCAAGAGAAAGAATTCAAAATGGACACTTAACTATGTTTAGACTGCCCTGTTGAATTAAGAAAGCTGACAGTGGATGACATGTGCATTTTAAGGGCGTTTTATGGTTAAATAGAGCTTAATGAAGAAACAGACTTATTTCTCCCTTTATAAGACCCTACCTTTGTATTACATGTATAATAGAGCCAGCTATAAGTTTGGGTCACACTCTGTAACTGCTCTAAAATATTAAATAAAAAAGAGGGAATAGGTGTAAAGATTGAGACATGTTTGTGAAATTGTTAGAAATTACCTAAATGTAATTTGACTGTACATTTGTCGTAACTGGTTTACCTTGTAATTCACCCTAATATAAAGTTTTTAGGTCTTTAGGTCAAAAGGTATCTGTGTGCATTGTGGCTCAAACTACCCAATTGTGCCCAAAAAAGAAGAAAAGACTTGACTGATGAACAGACAGACAATGCTAGCATTACTTTAGTTCTGGCACAGATGTGCAGCATGTTGCCTGCCAGAGGCCTAATTAGATCACAGCCAGACTCAGTATTGATTTCACTTATAGGTTATACCCATTTTTTAAATGTTTTTTCCATTTAGTGTTGTTTACAAATGGCTTATACTTGAGATATAACCAAATGTGCTGTAGAAAAGGACAAACGTGTAAACACTATGAAATACTGCTGTTTAAGAGATAAGATAAAAATGCTTATTTGCTGGAGATCAGTACAGTTGTATTGGCACTTATCTTAACTGTAGGTTCGGGGTGTTAACTCTGATTCTGAATCTCATTAATGGATGGTTATTTCAGGCCTTTAGGTCTTTTGACTGTAATGTTGAAAACATAATTTGGAGTGTGCCTAACTTAACTTATGTGACCTTTTTTTTAAATACATTTTTGTTTTTTCCATCTATATACCATAACTCCAGATGATGCTGTAATGCTTGTTTAGCTGTATTTGTTTTTGTGGCTGAGAAATAAGACAAAAACTGTGGCCTTTTTAGCCTTCATTAGCCTTTATCCACTGTAATGAAATCGATTTCATCTCACATGTTTTGTTTTTTTTAGCCTTTTAGCTCAGAGTTGATACATGCAGCGCTGGTATTCTTCCCTACGTTTTCATGGGCTATAGGTGACTTCTGAACAGAGAAGTTACACAAAAGAAGAAAAGACAATGTAAAAGTGCTGCAGGCAGTGCAAGGAGAGGCAGAGGAATGTTGTTGGTGTTTGACATTCCTCCCTCCCTCTCTGTTCACCCTCTGCCTCTTTATCTCTCTCTCTCTCTCTCTCTCTCTCACACACACACATTTGTGCACCATGATTTTCTTTTCCCTCCTCTCTCCATCCTCACCTATCCTTTTTCCCGCTAATGCTGAACTTGTTAAATTTCATTTGTTTTTGTTTTTTGGGGGTGAAATAGAGAGGAGATGACACGCAGCAAAGGGCCACAGGTCGGACCCGAACCCATGGCCGCTGCAGCAAGGATTTAGCTCCCACTACATTGGGCAGTCCTTTGCTAACCACTGTGACAAATACAGTTACACTTCCTGTAGCTTCTTCAGAATAAAAGCCTGCCAGACGTTTGATGGTTAGAAAGCGTTTAATGTGAGGCAGCATTAGCAATAAAAGGACAATTACAGCTCCAATATGGTGCATGAGAGTGGATCATAAAAGAACTACAACCTGCTGAACATAAAAGAAAATCACCTGGCTGATCACACATGCCAAGTCAATCAGTTCAGTGTATCACAGCTCAGTTGACAGTGACCCCCCGCTGTGAAGGTGCTGTGGAAATTCTTGATATAATCACGACCTCGCAAGCATCAAAGCTGAAAGTTGTTATTTCTGAAACAGTGAAAATGGGGCTCATTGTTTGAAGTGTGTGATACTTTTTTTCTGTTTGCGCAGTGTTACTAAGATCTGACTGCAAAAGGTAAAGTGTGACACACTCCTTAACAACCTGTACCAGAGGGCACACCATCATTCGTCAACAAGCAGGTTGTTTTGCTAATTGAGCTGAAACCGTCGTTAAAGACAATTCAAATGTGTGTGACTTATTCTAAAAAGGATGAATAGTCATCATTCAGTCATACTTTTAGGGCCTGTAAAGGACAATTAGGGCCCCCTCAGGAACATGATTAACACTGTGCTACAGTCCAGCTGAATGTTAAATCTGATTCTTAAGGAAGCGTAGGTGCCAACTTCGTGGCACACGACGTAGTATTACCCCTATGGTGTGGGCATGTGGATGGTTGCATATATTTGCCCAGTGCAAACAGCAAACAGCTGACATGCGTGTGTGTATCTATTTGCGTGTGTGTATATGTATTGCATTGTGGATACAAACCGACAAAGGCCAGCAATTGTGCCGCCCATGCTTTACTTGCATCTGACCCGAGCTGGAGCCTGGTGTGAAGTGTGATTTATCTGCGCCATGCTTCGCCCTGCGCTCTATAGACAAAGATATTTATTGAGCTACCCACAACACTGCATTATTTACTGACCACCAGCTCTACCCACTGCCTTGTGACTGTGTTATTACTGCGGCTTAAGACATCTTCTCTGTGACACCCTCAAACTTTCCCCTTGGTTTCATTCTTATCTCCTCTCATCTACTCCCTGCTGCAGTGTGTTCATGTTTTAGGTTATACTCAGTACAGCCTTCTCCACCCTTTTGATTAGTAGTATTTAAAAAGCCAGGCCTCCACATGTGTTTCGGTCCCGTACTTGTTGGTTGTAGTGGAAGAAAGTAGTAAATAATGTGTAGTACTGTATGAGTCAGTGGGTGACAGTCTGTGGGAATGCACTTCAGATGTATGTGTCTGGATTTCCATGCACAAATACAGTGATTGTGTGTGTGCCTCTGTAGCCACAGTGGCTTAGAATAGACGTAAACTAGTAGACTTACTGTGATTAAGGTCTTGAAGTTGAAATGCATAGCAGACAAGGTGAAAGTCATAGTTATGTGCCTGTTACCATTTTGCTCCACCGTGCTAATACAGCGCCAGTGCCCGCTTGACCAGTTTGCGCTTAGTGACTTTGATCCTCACGCATTAAATAAATACCAGTCGAAATGTGAATGAAGCTAGATGCATGCCCTGCATGAACCACATGCACTATTACTATAGGAGGTGGTGTTTGTGGCTGTGAAGGTCGAGGGGATTACAGAGCGTTGTGTCTGCACTGTTGAACAGGTTAGCAAATTAACAGGGAATTACTGCGGCCTGCATTCCTTGGCCAACACAGCTCCGTAATCCTGGAGACATTCAGGCAGGGCGCATGGAGTAATGAACCAAGCAGGGCACATCAGGAAGGAGAAGGAGTGTCAAGTATTTTGTAACGGAACGCAGTTTTCATTTAGTTTAACAACCAGTTGTAATGTGTGGCATAGCTGTTTTTATCTGCAGAGGGAGTCATCTTGAATCATGTTTCTACAGTAGCCCAGAACGGACAAACAAAGCACTGGTTATATGTAGGCTGTCCACTGTAGTTTCTCCTACACACTTGATAGGGGAGGGTCAGGCGAGTTGCTAGCAATCTGCAACTACAGTGCTAGATGTAACAAAATCCTACACACTGGTCCTTTAAACATCTGCTCTGATTAACTAGGAAAAGGTTTAATAATAAAAAAAAATACTATGGGGAAAAGGGAGAGAGAAGTCTTTATGTTTGACCAAACTTCACTAATGAAAATGGTTTGTAATGGTTAACCACCCATGTATCTCGGTATGAGAAAAAAAATCTCATATTGAGATATGGTTTTTCATTGTTGTCATTGGTCAGATATTGGTGGTTCAGTTGGGATGAACTGAAATACATCTGAGTTGACTTAATGGTAGCAAATAACAATTTACCAGAATCTGAATCTCATCTCATGAATGAATGAAAGGGAGTTAGACTTTGCACCATGTGCTTCTGAATTCATAATATCAAAACATATTGAAATGGAGATAATGCTGTGAGAATTATAAATGTTGTCCATAGTCACCCCTCTTTTCTAGTAAAGTAAGTTCCAGCCCTATGTCAGCCTGTGTATCAAGTACCAGTGTCGAATGGTTAGAATATTAAAGTCTGTAGACATGTTATTGTATCACCAGATATGTATGTTATTGACATATGGTATATGAATATCTGTATGGACCTTTCACAGGCTCCAGTAATTAAAACTGAGCTAAAATACTCCAGACTACAGTTAAAACAATCTGTAAACTGAACTTTTTCCCTCTATATCATAATACGTTTTGAATCAGAACCAAACGTTAGGATATGAATGCGCAAAGGGAAAGTCCCTACACTTGCCTTGTCTGGTCTGCTCCCCCTGTTTCTGTCTGTCTGTCTCTTTCTCCCTCCAACACACACACATACTGGGCCAGCAGGTCAGCGCTCAGTTTTAGATGAGACTCTCCCAGCT